TAACCCTAAATGGCATGCATGCGGTTTCAAAATAAATAAATAAATAAATAATGGCATGCATGCAAGTATCTTGGAGTGATTGTTTTTTCTATTCATAAAAGGCTCGCTAGAAAATAATGACATAAACGAAATTTAATCTTAAATTTAATTAAGGAAAAATACATTTTAATAATATCAACTATTGGTGATTTACTTTTAATAATCCCAACTAAGGTTTATCATCTAATAATCCCAACTATGTTAAGAGTTTGCCTCCAGCAGTCCCAATCGGTCAACGTTGAGTCAACGACCTGTTATAATAGGTAACCATGACACGTGTCAACACGTAATTGGTACAAAATTAATAAATTAAAAAAATAAAGAAAAATTTGGGTTGACCATGACACGTGTCGACACTATCGGTGTGTTGAGCAGCGAATTGGTGTTCGTTTGCTGCTGAAATTTGGGTTGGTGGTGGCGTAATTGGAGGTTGTTGTGGTTGGTGATGTTGAGGGGTTGCGTGGGTTGGTTCGGTGAGTGAGGTTAGGGGTAGCAGGAAGTTGATGTTGTTGGTGCGGTGAGTGAGCCAGTGAGGTTAGGTGCAACAACAAATTGATGGTTGCGAGATGCGGTGTTTGGAGCGTCCGGGTGTGGTAAGTTAGCAGCTTGTGGTGAGAGGGTGGTTGGGGCTAGTATGGTCTCAATTGTTGCGGTAGTGGAGCGAAGGTGTGTGGCTGGTTGTGTGTTGTTGTTGGTGGAGTTGCGGTGTAGGTTAGGGGTTGATGTGGTGTAGGATACTAATTTAGGAGGTGGGGTGGATTGTGGCTGGTGGATTTTGTTTCTATTTTTTTTTTACTTTTTCAATTTTTTTTTAATTTAAACCAATCTCGTGCTGACACGTGGTTTTAAAAAAACATAAAAAAAAAACCCCTTTAGCAGGTTACCGATCATTGGGACCATTGAAGGCAAACTCATAGTATTGTTGGGATTATTAGATAATAAACCTTAGTTGGGATTATTAAAAGTAAATCGCCAATAGTTGGGATTATTAAAGTGTATTTTTCCTTTAATTAATTACTATATTACCTACAAGACTTTAAATTTATCTTTTCAGTAATTATATATTGAGAAGGTATTGGGTGCGGTAAGCCACACCAAACAATTCGTGCGTTAAGTATACTACCTCCGGAACATATTATATGCAACTTTGGAGCTCTTACGGAACCCAAGACAAAATTTTATAATAGTTAATTAATGATTAAAAGTATGTAATTAAGTGTAGGAGAGAAAATGGAGATGATTAACCACCACCACCAACAATAGTCACCCCATTAGGCTACCACCATAGCCTAACCGCAGCCTCATCGGCACCACCTCCACTCACCTCTGATCCACATCAAAACTAACCCGAAACCACCACCACTCACCTTGAACCACCGCAAAACTGACCCGAAACCACCACCACTCACCCTGAACCACCGCAAAACCACCCGAATCACTCTAAACCACCCCTGAACAAGCCCGAAACCACCCCTGAACCAGCCCGATATACTCGAACCACCCCTGGACCACCTCGATCTACTCGAACCACCCCTCGACCAGCCCGATCTACTCGAACCACCCCTAAACCAGCCCGATCTACTCGAACCACCCATGAACCACCACGATCTACTCGACCTCCCCTGAACCAGCCTGAAACCAACCGTCGAACCCACCCCTAAAACCCCTTAAACTAGTCGAAAACTTCCACCACTCACCCCGATCTACTCAAACCTACCCCTAAAACATCGTAAACCACCCAATACAAGCCCAACCACTCCTAATTAAACCATCAGATTTAAAGATTTGATTAAAAAAAGAAGAAAGAGAAGATATGATAAAGAGACAGAGAGAGAACGAGAGCGCGAGAGAGAAAGAGAGAGAGAGCATGCACGACGTCGAAGGGCCGGTGACGTTGAAGGTGGTGGTGGCCGGTGACGTTGATGGTGGTGGTCAGAGGAGTTGTGAAAGATGAACATGGATGGAACTTGAATGGATTTTTGAGTTTAGGTTGATCGTTGATTGGATTTTGTTATGGGTAGTGAATTGTATTTGGTGAGAAAAATTATGTTAGTTAAGTTAACTTATTATTTTAATGAACTCTGATTTAGTTGTTTAATTGTGTTTATGATATATTGAAAAAGAGTATTTGAGATTTACAAAAATTTACTAAAAAAGGAAAGGATGGGAAAGTTGCATCTAATATGAAATTTCCGTTTTTAGCAAAAGTTGCATATAATATGTTCCGGAGGTAGTATATGATATGCATTATTTGATATAGGGTATGTATTATTTGATACAGAATATGTACAACTTGTTGAAGGATATGTGTTATTTGATAGAAGATATGTACAGTTTGTTGTAGGATATGTGTTATTTTTTATAGGATATGTAGTATTTGATAGAGGATACGTACAATTTATCTTTGATAGAGGATACGTACAGTTTTTTAGAGGATATGAATCATAGGATATGTAGTATTTGATGGAGGATATGTAGTATTTGATAGAGGATATGTACAACTTGTTGGAGGATATGTGTTACTTAATAGAGGATACGTAAAGTTTGTTGGAGGATATATATCTTCATTTGACTGATATGCTTCATCTGTTACCTGATATGTTCAATGTATTAGTTGATATCTATCTTTTGTTGGCTGATATGTTCCTTTTGTTGGATGATATGCTTCATTTGTTAGCTGATATGTTTCTTTTGTTAGCTGATATACATAATATCACATCCCGTTGTAGAGGATATATCATCCAACTTATTATAGATGATATTATCTAGACAATAGAATTTATTTTATAAAAATAATTAAAAGGTCAACTATGGCGGAACCACTATTGAAGGTCCCGTACTAAGCTCATGGGTATAACATAACATGCTCATTTCTCAACCAAAATACATGCATTTGTTATCAAAACGCTCACAATTTAACATACAATCACATAGGACAATCAATTTCAATAATTATACATCACACAAGAAAGTCCCAAATCGATTTTTTTGGGCGTTATTCGAATATTCGAGAATCTCAAGCAATTATCAATCCAATTCAAGCATAAATCATGGACAAATATAATCAACAATCAAAGAGTTTCTCGCCGTCGACGATACCACCGCCGTTGATGGGAGCGATCATTGGTATAAACAAAAACCCGCTGGACTGACAAAATATTTGGTCAGGCTGGACTGACGCAATAGTTTGTGTTATATATTTTACATTGACTGTATTTGTCTAATATGAAACGGAGGGAGGAGTAATGAGGAGATTTGTCATTCTCTGCCTCACTTGAAGTGCACCGGCTTCCTCCCCTTGGTTTGAATTGTTATAGGCACATAGAATCCGTCAAAACAATTTATTCTGTCAACAAATTTCTTGCCTCGTGATTTTCTTTGATCTATTGGTAAATACAATTAGACACATGCTTTTCACGAAGCTTCATGCAAAGCTACATTGATATGATCTATTAAAGTGCCATTTGTATCAATTTGTTTTTAAATTGTAAAGGACCATCTATGCACTCATTGTTAATTTTGTTTATACAAATAATCTAAAACTAGTGTAATATAATCCACTCTACGATCTCGGTTATGTAAAGTTTTATTGGCTCATAAATTGTGCATTTACGTAGTTTAATTAATGAGACCTAGTCCATGGGCAATGGATTTATAAACTTAGAATTAAAAGTAGTATTTCTAATGTGACTTATCTAATGATAAATTGATAACCCAAAAGCTAGCTAGGTTTCTTTTCAAGTTAAGAAATCCAAATAATACCATAAATTGTTCTCTACGCTAATAGGAATAAACTAATAGTGGTCAAGACTTGTAAGCAGCAAGTCATGATAGATCAAACTGTTTCAGTTTACACCATGGATTGGTCTCAGGCTCCTAGATTGCATGGATGTGCTGCGCCAAACAAATATAGGGGTGAGATGGCCGAACATGCCATTTTTGACACAAACTTGCTGATAGAGCTTGTATAGGCAGCTCTTTGTGAAACAGTCATAACTTTAGCATTTTTTGTCAAAAAAACAAGCTTGTGATTTGTCTCGGAAAGTTATCGAGCTAAGCTTTTTACCTCCAACAAACTTGAATTACATTAAAATCATAAGTATTTTGAGATACATATGCATTTGGAATCATCCATTTTTATCATCCATATATGTTGGATATTAAGGCACAATCAACAATTTAACAACGTAATAATTTATGTATCTATTATTATTTTTGAATTAGTTGTTGGCATATAACATAAAGAGGTTATTATATTCTATATATACTTCAAACGGTTTAATTTATACCCGAACTCATTGAAAAACTATATTCAATTAATTATTTCATAATTCGTAAAATTCATCATTAATTATCTAACATTTCTTACTCAATATATCTAGCTTGTCAATAAATCACACACCGATTTCTAAGTTTTATCATTAGGTGAGATATTTAGCAATGTATACCAAAGAAGCAATAAGCCTCATTTAATTTAATTTATTGACTTTGGGATGATAGTTCAACAATTACTTCGTACATTGGGAAGGCTAAATAAAGAAAAGGAAGCAAACAACAAGAAAATCTAGCTCTAATCCAATCTATCCCAATAGAGTTCGATCACGAGGCAGAGTTTCATGAAAAACAATGTATTTTACATATTATACTTCATACTATATACGAAATGTGTAGATAAATTTATGGACGTACTATATACTAAATTGGAGAGATCAATATATATTTTATATTTAATTTATAGAATAACGTGAGAAAGAAGTAAATACGCATGTATATAGAGAATTGTAGTTCATATAGCTAAGACTTTGACGTTAATTAAATAAACAAAATAAAATAAATTTACTACATTGAATCCATCAAATTATTATTTTGAACCTAGGTTGTAACAATTTTAGGACCTCTATAAAATCTTCTTCTGGTATTCTCTAATACTATTATTATTCTTTCACCTTTGTGTAGTTGAAAGAACAAACATGCCCATTTTAATTTTCTGCAAGCACAAGATGATGCATGTTTTTCCTCCCTATTTACTTTCACTACTTCTCATCTGCTTCTTTGTTGGCACCACCGCGAAGATCACAACTTCAATCTCTCACAATGGTACGTCGTTTAATTTAGTTTTTGTATGGATTTTTTTTTCTTTGTTGGTATATATGAAATTGCATGCATGGTACTTTGGGAGTTAACAAGCTTTTTAATTCATATAATTAATACCAAATAGGTTTCTTCAAAAATAAATAACAAAGAGGTACGGTTTAGATATATAGTCAATAGTAAGGTCGTGATTTTATCAATAATTAAGTGAGTTTAGGCTAAATAGCTAACTATTAGCCTTAGCCACCAAACATTGAATAGAAAACAAATTATTTTCTCTTTTAAGCACGTACTCAACTTCAACACATACTAAACTAATGATGTTATTTTATTTTTATATTTATGTTGTCTCAGATATCTAGCATACATGTTAATCTTTAGGTAATTTACTAAGAGATCCGGCAATTTATATCATTGTATTAACAATCTCTTACAAAATAATAGGAGTAATATTCATCACTAGTACATAAGGAAGACTAGGGACGATATTATATGTTTTATGTTTACGGAGAGCCACAAAAGATAACTGGTATAAGAGGTAATTAATCTTGTGCGTGCTAGACTTATCATGTACCACACTCAATACTTTAATCAACTAAGATAGCTGACATCATATGTGGAGATAGGAGCATAGAGAGTACATTAGTACGTACACGGGGCTTCAACCCCTACTAACTAGCTATATGATCTCTATGATGTATTTATAGCAACAATTTGGTTTGAACTAGCTAGTAGTAGAGTTAAATAATCCATATAGGTGATCGATGAGGAAATGCAATGTATATATAGTATCATTCCTAACAGGCCAAAAAGTTTTTTTTTTTTTTTTTTTTTTTTTTTGGTTGTTAAAACCTTATTTTAAGAAGTCTGATCCATCAACAAGTCGATAATTAAACTAGCTACTATATTAAAATACATATTTAGCTTGATATGTAACGTACTTTGTATCATTGATACTAGTCATACTACTGTTATTGACATATTTATTTGATATTTTTTCTTAATTATTACTTTAAATTGTCGACTGATTGGATGCAAATTTGATGTCCATTGCTTAGGAGGAGTTGCTTCCAGAAAAGACATTACAACTCTTTCTTATGCAAAGGTATAGTTTCAATTAATTTCATCCTCATGCATGCACCTAAAAATATTAATTTAGCGTACAATATTTACAATTTTCTTATTTATTACAAAATACATCATGTAAATGAAAGAGAAATGTACATGTACCGTCATTCATGGCATAAAATACAAAATAGATCATTACATACATGATTCAACATAGATATGCACGTATGTACGACAAATTCGTTATCATTATTATCATTTCTTGTCCGATACGTACTTGAATATGACAACCAAACTCGAGTCTGTGCAACATAGCCCGTACATGTATAGATTTGATTGGTTCACAATGAGATATGTACAAAGCTCTTAAATGACATGTTTTATACAGGTAACACCAATGATAATAACTAGCACCTCTACTAATAAGCGAAACAAGCATGAAGGAGAGACGATAAGCTGGATGATAAATCGTACAAGAAAGTTGAATCAAGTAAACATGGAAGTAGTAGAGACGACTCCAAATAATAAGAAGTCATCTACAAAAAACAATGTAGTTGTTACAAAATGCGACGATGTATCTTCATCAAAATCAGTATCCTCGTCGGTTAAAGAAGGTTCAAGTAATGAAAAATGTCAAAAACTTGGAAGAAAACTTATACCAAGAAAACAAGATATGGATACTTTTGTAGCTTACGCTGATTATCGTGGACCGCAACGCCATCCGCCAAGGAACAATTAATCATATTAATCAAAGATGAATTACTTAATTATAATACAATTAAGCTTGAACTCCATATATTTTTGTTTTGGTTGCACCATTAAAAATGGTGTTATATAATTGTAATGTTTTAACTTATTATCGTTTGTTTGTACTTTGATTATCTTTTGTTTGTTGTAGTGTTTGTAATCTTATATAGTATACCTATGTCTTTAAGTAACAAAAATGGTCATCAAGACCTAAGTTTTCTTAAATTCTACCATTTTTTAGTTATATGCGGGTAAACTTTAACAATAAAAAAAATTACCCGACCTATTAAAATGGTCGATCAATCTTAGCTTTGAAATTCGCGGAAACAATAAACCCTATCATGACCAAAGAACACAAACCTCAATATAATAAAAAAAAAAAAAAAAAAAAGGAAAAAAGAGAAGCTTTTAATCAAAGGGAGAAAAGGGGGAGTTAGGGGCTTAGGGTTCTTTAGAAGTCATATCAATTTCACAAAAAAAGAAGATTTAAAATGTGGTTTCTAATGAAATTTCTGTAAAATTTTTGAATTTTATTATCATACTTATGCCAGTAATGACAAGATAAAAAGTATTATTCCGTATTTTTAATCGTATAATAAGTGGATCAATTCATTTCATACTCCATTCTGTCCAAAAAATACAAGGTCTAAACTACTCTTTCAAAATTTCTAAGTCACACAGCTAATGGATCGGATAATAAATAATGAGATTGGTGTTGTCCACTCTTGGATAAGTTAAGTCCCACTCCCACCCTCTTAATCATTCCTCCACCACAACTAGTACTAATAGAATTATTATCGCTTTGTCCCCGTTTATCTCTTGAAAATGATCACATTGGCATTTAGATAAAGTACTGATTTTGAAAGCAAATGGACTTGAATATATAATCTTCCCATCATACTAGAATCATTCTTATGTAAATTTTTTTATTTCTTCTTTTCACACTTTGTTGTAATTATAGTAGTTAGAAATGGCTAAGACATTTTCACTTGGCCTCCAATGATAAACTATAGGCATTAATTGCATTAAGGCTTTTTTTAAAAAAAAAACAATAATAAATTAAAATAAAATGAATGACAATATAAAATTGAATTTAATTAATAATATATTAAATCTGATAAACGGGCCTAGGCCAGACCCGTCACGAGTGTCCATTTTACAAGTCTAAGGAAGTTCCACCTCAACGCAAATTATTCTTTGGATCATAGTCCATCTAGAATAGTTGCACCACGCCTATACTTTTGAATATTTAGTAAAAAAATCTGAACAATTGCAAATTTTGAACATTTAGTAAAAAAAAATCCGAACATCGAAAATTTTGAACATTTAGTAAAATATCATAGTCCGTCTAGAATAGTTGCACCACACCTATACTTTTGAACATTTAGTAAAAATATTTGAATAATTGCAACTTTTGAACATTTAGTAAAAAAAATTCCAAACATTGAAAATTTTGAAGATTTGGTAAAAATATCTGAACAATCGCAATGTACCACGCCTATACTTTTTGAACAATTAGTAAAAAAAACCTGAACAATTGCAAATTTTGAACATTTAGTAAAAAAAATCCGAACACCACAAATTTTGAACATTCAATAAAAATATCTGAACAATCGCAATGTACTACGCCTATACTTTTGAACATTTAGTAAGAAAATCTGAGCAATTGCAAATTTTGAACATTTAGTAAAAAATCTGAACATCGCAAATTTTGAACATTTAGTAAAAATATCTGAACAATCGCAATGTACCACGCCTATACTTTTGAACATTTAATAAAAAAATTTGAACAATTACCTGTGATCTAGCTATTCTAGATGAATTAGGGTGCACAATAAACTTATTACCACCTTAAAACCATATGATAATGAGGGGAGTAACCCTTTAGCCACAAAATCATAAATCAATTTATTTTTATAATCTTAACCCAAGACATCATTCGAGTCCAAGTCATTTCCCTCCCTCTCTTTTGTATTTCTGATTTGCTAAATATGGTCAGGGTGGGCCACTTTATATTCCATAATCTCCATGTTTAGCCATACATTATTACTACCTGGTTTGTATGTTAGTAGCAGATCATTGGTTAGCAATGCTTTGTATTTTAATTATGATATATACCAAGTAATAAATTACTAGTATGTATAATAGGACTATATTTGGGTTTTTCACAAGTGTGCTAGTGCGTATATACAGAATAGTTGTAGTATGTACAATAGGACTATATTTGGGTTTTTTACAAGTGTGCTAGTGCGTATATACAAAATAGTTGTCCCACATCGAAAGAGTGTGGGAGTTTATTATGGTGATTTATTAACAACAAGATGTGTGAGATACATTTCCGAATATCATATGAGTTAAGAAATCTCACGCATTTTATGTGTTAAAGCCTACACGACTTTTGATTCATGACCGTCGAATTTCATAATCTCCGTCTCACTTTTGTTTAAAAGCCATATCATCCATGATTAAGCATGTATGTGTATAGAAAAAGATTAAAGTTTTAATCAATGTAATGCCAATAACATTAACATCCATGTTAATAATTTGAACTCACCCCCAAAAAGAAGTCATTATTGTCATATTAATTATATTAATTATATATATTAAGTATATATATATAATATACTTTCTCCGTTCTTTTTTACTTTAACCCGTTTTGACTTTTACACTATTCACTGCCTTTCCTTTGACCATTTTTTATGAATTATATACTTCCTCCGTTAATGGTTATGTGCAACATTTGTACCGGTTGCAGAGGCCGAGGCAAAAGTTTTTAAACATGCTTATTGAAATATGAGGGGCATATACTTAAACACTAATCCAATTATTAAAAAAAATCCACAATTAATTAAAACCACAACAACCAATCCCAGAACCCAGAATCTCCACCACCACCGTCCAACCCATCGTAAACCGCCACTACCACCACCACCAAACCCACTGAAAACCCACACACCCACTGAAAACTTCCGTAAACCACCACCACCAGCGAATACCACCAAAACCCAACGAAAACAACCACCAAAATCCACCAACAACAACCACCAAAACCCCAAAAGCCCCAATTAAACGACCACCACCACGAATTGCTGAATTAATTACAATTAAACCACCACCACGAAACCGAACACCACGCCACCCACTACGCTACGCAACCCAACACCACGCCACCAACCACCTTCGAAATCAACCACCACAAAACCTTGAACTAAACCCAGACCCACAATCACCGACATCTAGATCCACACCCGAGACCCACAAAACCTAGATGAAGGAGGAATGAGATTGCATATTTGACGAAGTTCGAGGGCAGCGTGGGTAGGGGAAAGAGAGGGGAGTCGACGTTGCCGGGGAATCGATCCGTTTAGGGTGGTTTTAAGGGTGGTGTTTAGGGTTAGGGTGCCGGCAGCCGACACGGAGGGGAAGGGGTGGCTGTCGGGAAAGAAGATGATGAGAGATGATGATGATGAACTGCAGATTGAAGAAATGAGAGATGATGAGAGATGAAGATGGAGGAGAAAGGTGTGGTGGGGAGATGAAGCTGCCAAGATATCTGATTTTTTTGGAGGATAAGCTTACATAATTAAGTTAGATTAGGGTTGTAGATAGGTGTAGTATTATGTGCTAATAATTTTTTAGTAAGGGTATTTTGATCATTTTGATATAAAAATGTTACTAAAATAGGAAAGAAATAAGTTTGTTGCAAATAATAGTTAACACTCGTTTTTGGTAAATGTTGCAGATAACCGAGGAATTATAAGTTACAACATATTCATATGAGATCTTGTTAGATTTGTCTTTATAAGTACTATCAAAAGTAATTTTTATAATTTTTACTTATGAAGAAATAAAGTTATTGTTAGTTAAAATATAAAATAAGAAGGATGAGAAGCAATCTAACCATCCAAATCTAATAATCATACGATCACAATCATCTCATATCAAAAGCGCGAGATCGTCAGCTACAACTATGTCCGTCTTCGATTCTTCCGCATCTGGTTATTTTTACACGCTCCTCCACTCCTCTGTCAATTCATTATCGTTTATTTTGTTCCCCAATCCATAGTAGTTTCTCTCTCTTATCAATAATTGTTAAATTAAAGCAAATTTCTGCAACTATTACTCTACTAGTCTACTTCTACTTCTAAATGTCAGAGACTAAATGAATTGAACAAGTTGATATTGAACACTACTTCTTCATAGTGCAAAATGAAACGAATAATACTGTAGTATACTAGTAACTATAAATTAATAAATATAATCATTGAATATTTCCAAATCTCATACCTTTATCAGATTATATGTTTGAAATTCATGAACATTTAATTTTAAAAATATGAAGATCCAAAATCAATAAATCTCATTGAGAATTGATGACTGATGAGAGTAGATATGGTCATCTTGAGTAATTGATGTTATAGGAGAGAAATTGCACATTCCTATAATTAATGCACATTTATTTATTAAATTATGCACATTGTGTTTAAAAACTTTGCATATTCAATCTAAAATCTATGCATATATCTAGTTAAGAAAAAACATATGCACATCGAATAATAAAAATATGCACATTTTGTGTAACAAAAATGCACATTTGATTGTGGAGTTGGATTATATATATATATAGAGGGTCGGGATCTAATGAGAAGGATTTTAAGACGAGAAGGATGAGAAGGAATCTTAGCCATACAAATCATTTAATCCAATGGATCATGTAAAAGCTGGAAACAAGCCCAGATTTAGTTTTTACAAGTAATATTTTTTTTCAATCTAACCAAAGAGGAATTGAAAAGCCCGATACTACTGCCACCATCCATTAACAACTCCATATGCTGCTTCCTTTTTCCATAAACACAACAACATATCTTGTGTATTTTTCACTCCTTAAATTTTCCACTACTTTTCAAAGATTTGTTTAACTTTTGGTATTTATCAAGAGCCATAATTTCGTAATTGCTAGATTTCTTACTCTTATAATTCTTATTCTAATCTGGATAAAGTTATCGAACTAATGTCGTCAATGGCGCTACAACAAAGAGGTATAGAGTAACTAAATGAATTTACAATTGTAATTAAATGAATACACAATTATAATTAATTGATATACTTGTTAAATTGGTGTATCTAATTCAAAAGGATGCACATTCACATTAACACACCTGCAACAACAGAGGATGAGAGAGAGAACGGGAGGTTGAATGGAAGGGTCTCATATGTAAATGAGTAATTGGAGTTAAAATTATGCATATGCTAAAGTTAATTTATGCATATTTAGTTTAAAAGTTATGCACAATCATTAATTTGAGGTTTCGTGAAATCTTTCGATTGAACACATGTAGCATCTTAATGTAAATAGAGGATGAGGGGAAAGAGAAGTAGCGTCTCTTAGTTGAATGAATTTGATATTATGCATATTTAGAAGTAAGATTATGCACATCTTATTCAAAATTTATGCACATCGTATTTAAGTCAAAAAAATATTTGCACATTTAGTTTAAAAAATTTGCAAATTTAGTACAAAAATTATGCACATAGAATACTCATTTTAAGGAACTTCACATTTGACCCTATATATATATATATATATATATATATATATATATATATATATATATATATATATATATATATATATATATATATATATATATATTTGTTTTTTTTTTTTGAATAACTACAGAAATATAGATTAAATTTTTACTATAATTGCTCCTTTGATATGTATTTAAGGAAGAATATGCTTTTACATTAATTTTCCAAAAATAACTGGAAAATTTTCATAAAATTTATACTCCGTATAATTAATACACAATTATTCACTTTAGCTAAGTCATCATTATAAAAATACATGTCATCATCATATTGTGTCCCACGACTCCCACTAAACCTGGGCTCGGGTCGGGTTGGCCCGCGTGTCGCCCGGCACGGCCCACTGTTTGACGCAGCCCGGCACGGCCCGAACTCCAGCACGCCACGGCACGAAAGTTGAACTTCGTGCCACGGGTCGTGCCACAGACAGGGTTATGAATTCCCAGGCACGGCCCGGCACGAGCACGACCAGGGCCCGCCGTGCTGGCACGCAGGCACGGCCCGCGGGCCAACGGTCATATAACCGTTTAAAAGCAACGGCTAGTTGCATAATTAGCCAAAAAAACGGCTACTTAACGGCTATATTTTTGCCAATTTGCTCCCCAAAAATTCTATAAATACCCACCTCCATTTCATTCCCAAATCACAAAATCACAATCTCTTCTTCTTATCTCTTATATTCTCTAAATCTCTAATAATCCTTATTTTCTTAAATTCTCTAATTATTCTCTTAAATTCTCTAATTATTTTCCTAATATCGGAAAAAATTAAAAAGTTCGTAATCGTAATTAGTGGAGCGTTGAAGCACGGTTGTAAGATCTAAACTAATCTTAAATTTATTATTGTTATTATTAGAATAATCTTGTTTAATTATTATTGTTGTTAATTGTTATTATTGTTGTTATAATTGTTGTTATTAATTATTATTATTGTTACAATTGTTGTTATTATTTATTTTTGTTGTTATTGTTATAGTTGTTGTTATTAATTAATTATTATTATTGATATTTTTATTGTTAAAATTGTTGTTATTAATTATTATTATTATAGTTAACCACTTTTTATTAAAAAATTAATTGTTAATTATGGCATCGAACAACCCATCATCTAGGTCTAGGGCGAAAGGCCGACTTACCCGTAGTAGTAGTTCTAGGGAACCACCAAGTACAACGAGCCCCCAAATTTCGAGTCAAACCAATGACCCCATTTACTTCCCCCCGGGCTATGAGCCATATAATATGTCGGGATTTCCAGCACCACCACTAAACCAATTTCCACCACCACCAAACCAATTTCCACCACCACCACCAAACCAATTTCCACCATCAAACCAATATCAAAATCCACAACAATTCCCACAATTCGGTGAATTCCCACCTAATTATATCGGTGATCAACAAAACTATTGTTCTAGCCAAGGTAGCCAAGAAAGTACCCGAATTCCCTCCGGTTCTACCCCTTCTACTGCCACTACTAATGCAGATACACATCATGAATGGTTAACCGAAAGTGAGATGATACTTTTGAAAAACCGAAGGAGTGAGGTATGGCGTTATTTTGTCCTAGATAAAGAGGGTCAACAATATGAAAAATGTAAAACATGTAATGGTGTATTCACGACATTTACCAAAAACGGGACGGGACACTTAACTAGACACATGAAAGCTTGTGCAAAACCAGCTAGTGATCCAACCCAGCCCAAAATTTCCCAATTCCATCCATACGGCTTTACATACAACTATGAGAGGGATAGGGATGAACTAGGAAAAATGATAGTACACGCCGAACAACCTTTTCTTTTCTCGGAAAGGGACGCATTCAACACCTACATTAACAAAGCACTACAACCCCAACATAAAAGAATCTCTAGGAAAACCGTTCGTTCCGCCGCAATGAAAAATTTCCTAGAGTACAAAGTCCGGTTACAAGCCGAATTGAGTAACCTTAATTGTAGAGTATCTTTAACAGCCGATTCTTGGGATAGTGGTTATAAATATCACTATTTATGTGTGACTTGCCATTGGGTAGATGATCAATGGTTGTTACAAAAAAGAATAATACATTTCAAAATGCTGGAATACCCACACACCGGCATTAACATTGCTCACCATTTAATGCAAGCAATAGACGAATACAACCTTCGAGATAATATGATGTCTATGACTTTTGATAATGCAACCTCTATGACATACACAGCTAATCTTATCAAACAAAACTTAACCGATGTACTATTAGACGGTGAAGCTCTTCATACTAGATGTGTTTGCCATGTACTTAACTTATGTGTACAGGATGGAGTTCGGGCAATTGGCCCATACTACAGCAAAACCAGAGATGTTATTATGTCTATTAATAGCTCTAACATGAGATACCAAGAGTGGAAGAGTTTTTTAAAGCAACAAAAGATAAGGGTAATAAAAATTAGAACCGATTGCCCAACTAGGTGGAATTCCACCTATGACATGTTAACAAAGGCAATTGAGTACAAGGGCCCGTTAACATTATTTTACAACCAAAAATTTCCACAAAATGCTTTGTATGATGATGATTGGAATAACTGTGAAAGATATATGCAATTTTTACAGTTATTATATAACATGACGTATTGTTTTTCTACTGTTTACAATCCTTGTGCTCAAAACTTTCTTTCTAATGCATGCTTACTCGCCCAACTTTTCGCTGATCATTGCCATCAAAGTGATTATGATCAGTATCTTCCAGCAATGGAAACAAAGTGGCGTAAATATTATAGTGAAATTCCTTTGATTTATATTTTTGCTTCCATATTAGATCCTAGGAAAAAGTATGAAAACACATTTATGTTAGTTGACATTTACTTTCAATGCATGTTTCTTGACGATGATGTAGAAAACTATAAGACTAATGTGAAGGATCAGTTTTTTGCTTTATATAGAGTCTATGAAGCCAAATATGGCACCGTTCCTCGCTCAGGGCCTTCCCAACCATCCAAAAACGTAAGTAAGAAGGCCAAACATTTATTTTCACAAGCTACTAACTTGATTTCAAGGTTTTCAGGTGATTCATCAATCAGGAGAACGCAAAGCGACGTCTCGGAGTTGCAGATGTACCTGAGTTACGACTTCACCAAAGGCATGGACGACGATGAGATAAACAGCCTCGACCTCCTTGCATGGTGGAAACAACAAAGCTCGAAGCATCCAACTTTGGCGGCAATGGCACGAGACATTCTTGCTATCCAAGTTTCCTCCGTCGCCTCCGAACGAGCTTTCAGCGCATCCGGAAGGGTTTTAGACGATAGAAGAACAAGTCTAAAACCCGAAACACTAGAAATGTGCGTGTGTTTCAAAGATTGGTTGGATGCAGAAAATCGCTCACAAGACCGTTCTTACGACCACAACGACAACGAAGAAGGAACCTCCGCTTTCGGTTCGGGTTCGGCTAGTTCCCAATCTATGCAACTAGCCGATGACCTTGAAGGCGGAGGCGAAGACGAAGACGAAGACGAAGACGAGCAAGAAGAAGGAGAAGAAGAATAGACAATTATTGTATATTGTACAATTTTAATCATTATCAAATATCAATTTTATCAGTTTCCAATTTTTGTTTAATACCATCATTGTATGATTTTTATCATTGTTATCATTGTACAATTTTCTCAACTCAAGTAATAATAATATAAAGCACGCATTATTCACATCCAAAGTCCAATTTGCCTTTTTTCCCCGTTTTGTTACAATTTGTAAATTCATATTAAAAAAATAAAATTATACCAATTACTAATACAAAATTATATTTAATAAATCATAAACATTAAATTTTAAAGTAATAGTATAAAGTAAATATATAAATATAAATATTGAATATACAAAATTATAAAACATAAATATTCAACTTATAATTATAAAATTCATAACTTAATAACTTATAAACTTATAAAAGTTATAAGTTATAACCTTATAAAACTTATAATTATAATTTTATAACTTATATACATTATAAACTTATAATGTTGTCACTTAAAATAAAAAAAAAAAAAAAAAAAAAAATTGGAAACTGCCAGTCTGCCACCAGCCCGCAGCCCAGCCCGCAGGCCGGCACGGTACGAGCCCGCCAGGCACGAGGGTCATGCCGTGCCGTGGGCTAGCCTGTGAGAATGGCCGGCACGGCACGACACGAATTCATGGGCACGCCGGCACGACCGGCACGGCACGAACCAGCCCGTTGCCCGCCAGGCACGGCCCGCGGCGGCACAGCCCGGCACGATGCCCAGGTTTAACTCCCACCCCCTTATTATTAACATATTAAATACTTCGTAGTTATTCCTCTAGATATTTGATCATTATGTAGCACTCCATTCACAATAAGTCCATTTTTTAAAATTCGAGTAAATTAGAAAATACGATAGAAGTGCTGTTCTTCTTCATAGTTCCAACCCTTAACCTATTGATACAATATCTCATTTCAACTCTAAGAATGTTATCTAGGTGTAAGGAGATAGGAGAGTCGGTCAATAGAAGTGTTACGTAATTATGAAATGAACGTGGACTTTGTCCTTAATGGAAATTATTTATTTAGATTTAAAAAATATTATTTTATTTGTGCACCAAAAAAAATAAAAAAATAAAAAATAAATCTAAGTACTAATTATTAGAAATATGATGTTTTTTTTTTTAAATATGCCAAATATACACATGAAATTGCTATATCTAAAGGGTGGGAGTAGGCAATATATCATATTCAAAATCATAATTTTCACCAAAAAAAATATTCAAAATCATAATTCTATGGACCTCACATACAAATGGTAGGTATTAATTAATCAAATTTAAACAAGGATAAAGAGGGAAAAGTGTTACAAATTGCATAAAGTTGCTTAAAACAAATTTGCATAAAATCTTCTATTGCCTTCTTAAAACCGATAATCACTCTCACTAACAATTATACCAATCATTCTGCTTTGTCCTTCCAATAAACAAACAAAATTTCAAAAAAAAAAAAAAAAAAAAAATCCAAAATTATTGCTCTATATACAGCCAATTTTTCCACTTAACAGTTGTTATTTTCCTATCTAACACAAATTATGTGATAATATCAAACTCATTTGTCCTAATCAAATTTTAATTTTTTTTGAAAAAAAATTATGGGGTCTGCAACATCATCAATGGCATCAAAATTTGCCTTTTATCCTCCAGATCCACCAACATATAGAATTATAAGTGACGAAACAACTAAAAAACCGGCTCTTTCGAATGTTCTTAGGAGGGAAAATGTTGATGTGTTGAAGTTGTGCACAAAAAGAGGCAATCAAATTGTTGCTGTTTTTATTAAGAACCCTTCTGCTACATTAACTGTCCTGTATTCTCATGGTAATGCTGCTGATTTAGGCCAGATTTTTAACATCTTCTCTGAGCTTAGTGCTCATCTTGATGTTAATCTTATGGGGTTAGTGTCACATTTATATTATAAACCTTATACTATACAGTTATGTTCCAATTTTATTTAGTTGTTACACATTTTACAGGTATGATTACTCTGGTTATGGTCAATCTTCTGGGAAGGTATGTAATGTCTAATGTAATTATTATAAGTTTATAATTATGAACCTGTTAGATAAATTAATTACAGCTTTTGTGCTTCTATATTTGCTAATTATTGAATGTTAATCATGCTTAAACTTTTGTTTTTGGTAAATGTTTGAATAGCCAAGTGAGCAGGATACATATGCAGATATAGAAGCAGCATATAAATGTCTAGGAGAAAAGTATGGAGTAAAAGATGAAAACCTTATATTATATGGACAGTCTGTAGGGAGCGGTCCAACTCTCGAGCTAGCGATACGTGTTCCTCGTCTGAGGGCTGTAATCCTACATAGTGCCATCCTCTCAGGCATCCGTGTTATGTATCCTGTCAAACGAAGTTACTGGTTTGACATTTATAAGGTCTATTGTTCTCTTATGCTCATTCCATTGCAGCATTACTACTAACATGACAGATATTGGCCACTGTTTACGAGTCTCAGAGATTAACCTGTCATTGCTCGAAGTTTTGAATCGTAATTCTAACTTTTGTGTTATTTGTGTGTATAAATTATGATGCAGAACATAGACAAAGTTCCTCTAGTCAATTGTCCTGTTTTAGTTATCCATGTAAGTACTAAGTTTCGAGTATTTGGATCATAAGTTTCTGATAAATTATGAATTTCGACAGTTCAGTCTGACAGTACATTTGTTTTCGGAGTTTTTAAGGGAACAGCAGATGAAGTGGTGGATTACTCACATGGTAAAAAATTATGGGAACTATGCAAGGAAAAGTATGAACCTTTATGGGTGATAGGAGGAAATCACTGCAATTTGGAGCTTTATCCAGAGTACTTGAGGCATCTTACTAAGTTCATTTCAGCGATTCAGAAACTACCGCCTTCCCAAGATATAATACTAGAATCTGAGCAAATTAATGCAGATTTGTCGGAATCAGGTGGTGATGTAAAAGGAATTAGTTTTCGGTCTAGTACAGACCAAAGTGAAAAGTCTTCTTCTCGACTAATCAATGAGCACCGTGACAAGTCTAGAACAAGTGTTGATGATAAGGAGAAGCCCAGGGCAAGCAGTGATAGGAAAGAAAGAGCAAGGAGGAGCATTGACAAACAAAGCAAAACCAGAAATAGTACAGATCAAGCTGAGAAGCCGAGGAGAAGCTTTGATAGGTAAGCTAGCTAATGCTTAAGATCAAGTAGTGCAGTACTATCTAAAAAAAGTTCTATGCAAAAGATATACAACTACTTCATATTTTCTAAATTTGTGCTGTGTGATTCTGACAGGTTTGGAGACATGGTGAGATCGGTTGGGTTATGCAATGTTGATTGTTTTAAGCAAACAGCAACCGCAGTTTGATTAAGGTGGATCATAGGACATGCAGACTGCAATGTTAGTACTAAATCTCATAACTCATCGTCAAAATTCATTCTGTTCTAAGTTATTCTGATTCCGTATAAGGAAAAGAAACAAAGAATCTGATGTGCAAACGCTGAAGCTATACTGCGCCTAATTGGTGAAAATTATCATTGAAGAGTATACTTAAGTGTTGGTGTAAAGAAATGCTTAAAGGCAATTCTTGGCTGTGATAGTTGATCGAGTTGTTCACTTTTAACATGATTATGCAATAAGAGTGTAGAAAAGTCCTATTTTCCTCATAGCCCTTAGCTGTGGCTAGTCTCTTCTGTGTGCAGTTTCTGAGTGTCAGCTGCATGATAATGACCAGGACAAATTTTAGATTTTTCCATCATTCGAAAGATGCTCAAATTCACAGGTGAAACTTCATAATCTAGATGCTTTTTAATTTAAGCTATATGATAGAGTTCTCTCTGACAATTATTGAACCATCAATAAGTTTATATATGTGATTGAACTTGTGCATATAAGAATGTTAAATTTAAAGAAACATGATGGCTGCTTTCGACTTTAAATATGATTATCACGAACTCAACATACATGATAAATATCATCCATATAAACGGTACAAAAGTTACCTTAATCAAAAGACCAGGGTAGCTTCCTGCAACATTATGTATGTTTACATCATGTTAATACGAACAAACTAACAGTAGAGATACTTTTAAAGAAAACTTATCAGTACCACTGAAAGCTAAGGAATATCATTACATCAATTAGCTGTATAACGTAGGAACACAATTTCCTCCCACACAAAAAGCTCATGATGTGACGACCTCCATGTCCATTTCCTTCCCCTGCTCGATACTTTTAAGGATTTCCTACATAATTCAATCCAACATTCAGAAAAATCCACATACATTTATAGATTTTTCCAAAACGCCAATTCTGAATTAAAAACTAACAATGAGCTTCTGTTGAAGTCTAAACTTGCCAAACAATACATATAAGCATCCCACATTGAGTAAAGAAGAGAAAGTTAAACACTAGGTTAAGGAGCTACTCTTTCTATTGCAAATGGTTTTGGGATGAAACCCCCTTGAATTTGTGAAGTGGTGTGATGACCTTAGCTTGACCTCAACCTTAGCAAGGCTTTCGAAAAGGGTGTCACGTGACTCAAAACTTTCTTAGGGAATGTTTTTTAACTATCCGTCCATTTTTTCAATTGCAATAAGTCAAAGGTAATATGTGAATAGTGCAAAATTTCTAATGTAGGCGTGTAGCATTTTAAAAAATGGATGGAGTATGTTATATATAGATGTTTGCAAACGCACAGCACAGCAATAATACATAAACAAAGTTAGTATAAGAATTAAGAAGGGTGTATAAAGTCAATATAATGCAAGTATTGAGAAATGAAGGAATATTATATGCAAGCTTTTGAGCATTCTAGAGAACGATTTAAATTGGAAAACGCAATAGAAAGATTGTTCTTTAGATTGTAGCCCAGAAAATTGTAAGAACATTAGAAAACATTTAAATTGGAAAACGCAATGAAAATAGCACTGTCAAATTTCAAACCGAAACTATTTTACTTTGGAAAATGGGGGGTTGCCGGGGGTGGGGCTTGGGGAGGGGTTGCCGAAGGTGGTGGAATTTGGAAAATGGGCTGCCCAAGCTTTTAATTTTTCAACCAATCATATGTTGCCACGTGTCTTACCTAACCTGTAACATCAGATTAATAATCGGCTGGGACAAAAAAAAAAAAATAAAAAAAAAGCGAATACCCTCTAAAGGTGGATTTATTCAATGATGATTAAAAGTTGGGATTATTTAAAGTGAATGGAACAAAGTTAATTTTTCCTTTAAATAATTCTATTTTATTTTCTTATCTAGGGAGTAATATTTTCTATTCTTGCTTTTGTTAATTGATACAAGTTACGGGTGCATCAAATGAGTATCAAATTAGAGATTTTACAAAAATACATTAGATGGTTGATTCCAAAAGTTTGAAAGATAAATAGACTCACAATCGATTAAAAATGTCGTTTTATTTTTTAGTCTTCTTATTTTCTACCAGTAGTATAAAATAAATTTAACTTTTTTAATTCTTAATTCATCTGAGTCTAATTGAAATTACTTTAACTCATATAAAATCTTACATCAAAACAATTCAATGAAATTATAGGTCCTCAATTGAATCTTCTAATAATCAAATGTCAAAATTTCAATATTTTAGAATTAGGCAAACATACCGAAGTGACAAAACTAAGTTCAAAGCAATGGAATCAATTGACCCATTTACTATAAAATAAAAAATCATGTGTAACATAATATACCTACACTTTTATATAATTTGTTAATTTGTAAAAAATATTAATATAATTTGTTAAATGTAAGAACTTTATGTGAAATTCTCTTTGATAACACTCTATTTTTTAATTTTCTTAGTGATGAATTATAAACAAACTTATTATATTTGGTAAACTTGTATTATTGGTTACCAAATATAATAACAATTTGAACTAAAATCTTAATTTATTTTTTCAACAATTTGATTATTTTAGAAATATTTTTTTTTTTTAAAAAAATTACCCCTTCCACCACCAATCTGCCAGCAACCCAACCATTGACGCCGTCCCATCCCTCTCCCATGGTCAGCAACCACCCCTCCCCATGCCGACTACCCCGTCCCCCTCCCTTTCCCCCCACTCCCAACACCCTTACCACGAAACAACCACTCATTTCTCACCTACATACCGCGAAATGCGCCTCCATTTCCTAAACCCCCACCTGATTTGTTATTTTTGTAAGAATACTACAAGAGGGGATGAATTGTAGTATAGGGAAATTAGAAAACTTTTTGCGCAAATATAAAAAATAAGCTAAAGGAACTCAAAGTCACACAGAGTGATTTTAGCGTGGAAAACTTATTGGCCCTAACAAGAAGAAAACCACGACCCCTTGGAATTTTAGGAAGGATTCTTTACTAGAATAGGGCAAACAACCTATTACAAGATAAAGACTATATCTCCAAGTTTTTTAAAACTCATACTGGCATACAAACGCAGAATGAAGATAATGAAGGATTTGTTCGCCAAATTGAAGTATGTGCGAACCTTCAGTGTTGGAATAAACTCATTCGCATCAAATTCTGAGATTGGTTTGCCATCAACCACCTTAACCATTACTATATTCGAGTTGTTAGAACCCTTAAAAGTAAATGGAAAAAGAATAGTAGGGAACCACTCATTGCTCTCCATTTCTCTCAAACAATGGAGAGACTTCATTGATTCTCGTTCAGGTAATCTTATTTGCTTGTATTGCAGTACATTATCACCACAACTAATGGAAATTCTATCTTCGACGACTTGTTCTATGTAATCATCGGGAAAATCCATAACCTAAATAGTGCATAAAAATTTATTACATATTACTCCCAAACATATTACTCCCAAACACACATCAAGTCCATTACAAAAAGGATTAGAGTAGATGAAAAATGACAAATTCTTTCCTAATCTAGTTTGCTAAACCGCCTTTGTTGTTCTCCCTTGGTCCCTTTCATTTATCTCCTTCCTTGAGCATCCCTAATGATTGAACATTGCTTTTAGCATCAAACTAAATTTGATTTTACAATTTTGCAAAAACAATCATATGTATTGGAAAAACATACTGATACATATGTTACACTTCTTCAAATGGACATTGTACTTATATTATAGAGGAAAAAATATATTCTATCGTTATAAATCTATAACTAAATAGACTTAATATTGATAACAATAATTAAATGAAAAGTAAAAAATTCTCATGCATTTGTGAGTTGGAAGGCGTGTCGATACATGTCTCGTAAACGAGTCAATCCTTGCTCTAATATCAACTGCTCTAATCTCAACTAAAGAGTTGCTCCAATTATATGAGGAGTTGCTCCCATTAAATTTGAACGCCGCCAACTAGGATATGTAGTCCGAAGTCCTCGAAAAAATTTGTCACATTTTTCCATAAAGTCATCGTCAGCCTTCATTATATATATATGTGTGTGTATAGTCTCACGTAATTTGTTAATTTATAAATAATTTTAATATAATTTGTTTTTATGTTGATTTGAATTCACTAATAAAAAATGCTAAATTTTCACTAATATATATTTATGTTTTTTAAAACTCACACTGGCATACAAACGCACATTGAAGGTAATGAAAGATTTGTTCGCCAAATTGAAGTATGTGCGAACCTTCAGTGTTGGAAAAAACTCATTCGCATCAAATTCTGAGATTGGTTTGCCATCAACTACCTTATAACCATTACTATATTCGGGTTGTTAGAACCCTCAAAAGTAAATGGAAAAAGATTAGTAGGAAACCACTCATTGCTCTCCATTTCTCTCAAACAATGATGGAGAGACTTCATTGATTCTCGTTCAGTTAATCTTATTTGCTTGTATTGCAGTACATTATCACCACAACTAATGGAAATTCTATCTTCGACGACTTGTTCTTTGTAATCATCGAGAAAATCCATAACCTAAAAAGTGCAAACAACTTTATTACTATTTCCAATCAATACATTTCAAATCAAGAAAAAAACAATGGTAAATATATAAAACTAATGAAAGATGATAAAGGAGAATTGATGTGAACGTACAAATTCAAACTAAACACAAGCTGGTAATACAGAATTAATTCATAAGACAAAAGATAAAATCGCAAAATTTCAGTAGATATATCATATCCATGATTTCGAGAACACAAATGAAAAAGGAAAGTATTACTATTGCAGAAAAAATCCGACAAACCAATTCTGCATCAACTGCTGAAACCATAAAAAATTCTCGAGTTAGACAATAAAGTTTGAATACATAAGAGAAAATTTATATTAAATATTTTTGAAGTGATAACTTACAATGGAGTAGAAATTATAATGAAGTTATATAAAAAAAAAAGATAATGTATTTGTGAAAATAATATAATGGCTACTTCAAATATCTTAATTTTTACAATCTTATGCCTATCATGTGAGACATATCTCCTTGTTCATCAGTTACAAATTCAATGTCTAAATATTGGTGCCTAAATATTGTTCATTAGTCTTATAGATTATGGAACTAGAAAGGCATGGAAAACTCAAATGTGATACATATGAAGGAAAAATAAATTATTTCAAAATCGTTAGAGTAATTTGATAAACATATAATGCAACAAGAACAATTAGTTGCTTTTTCGAGTAATTATTTTGGTTGTGTAAAAATTTCATACACCTATTCTTTCTATCTAGTCATCACTATCAAACTTACCTTAAAAC